GCTGCCTCAGAAACTGAAGGAGGGGTCGCTATGAGTTGGGGTGACTCAACAGCACATAAATATGCTTGTTGGCCATTTGAATATCCTCCTATTGAAATATCTATTTAAGTCCTTTACACATTTTTTATTTGGGTTGTTAGTCTTTTTTGTTGTTAACATGTCTATTTTATTTGGGACAACGAGGGAAGTAATTGAGAGCTCTGGTAGCATAGTTCCTAAGGCACTTGACTGCTAACCTGAAGTCTGGTGGTCCAAACCCACCAGCCACTCCTCAGAAGGAAGTTTGGGCAATCTACTTCCATAGTGATATCGCCTCGGAAACCCAAGGAGGTATTGCTATGGGTTGGGTCCTACTTGACGGCACATAACAACAACAGGGAAGTAATTATGCCGTTAATTCAAAGAGAGATAAAAGGGGGAAGCAATCCTATGAATAGTAAAGAAGTGCATTGGGAGATGATGGAAGTATGGACATACTGGATTGAGATACATGTGAGTTAACCAAATAGATGAGTTTGAAACTCAGGAAAGGAACACAATCAATTCCTAGGTTATGAAGATCCAACTTACAGCTCCTACTTGCTTTTTAAACTGATTCTGTCATGACTGACAAAGCAAAATGGGGACAGACCCAATGTTTTACAATTAAGCCGGGTATCTGAGAAAAATTATGGGTCAATGCCTTGGAACAGGAGACTCAGAAGAGGTGTAGTGAGTCCTTTAAGGAGCCTAATGCATGAGATTAAATTATTAGCAGGACAGTGGAAGAGTGATACATATTCAAATTGGTGTGGTCAAACCATGTTTGAGCAGGGGGCCACCATTTTTGAGTGGGGCAGCACTCCCTTGAATTGTGCTTACAATCTGAGGGCAAGAATTTGGTTTTTATGAAACACATATGCTGCCCTTCTTCTGTTAAGGGGGAAAATAAGTTTCTAGCAAGGCTGTGATCTGTATTATTTTTCCCATTCTAGTTCACTATGTTGTTGTTGTTGTTATGTGCCGTCGAGTCAGCCCCGACTCATAGCGACCCCTCCTTGGGTTTCCAAGGCAGTATCACTACGGAAGTAGGATTGCCCAACCTTCCTTCCGAGGAGTGGCTGGTGGGTTTGAACTGCCAGCCGTCTGGTTAGCAGGCAAGTGCTTTAGCCACTATGCTACCAGAGCTCCTACTTCACTATAAGTTTTAAAAATTCGAGTCTGTTCCAGTGATACTTCCTTGGCCATGACTGAACCAGGCAGAACCAGTTAAAATCCTTGACAAATTCTTAAAGACACAGTTAGGAAGGGTTCCTGTTCATAACCTGGGGACTGCCTGTATAGGCTAAGGTGTAGTCCTGTGAGTCAACAGCATGTAGGTAGTAGCTAAAACCTTCCCAGTAAACGACATCACTTGGAGAGATTGTTAACAAAGAGAGCAATAATGAGTTAATAATGGAACTTTCTGGTGGCATAGTGCCTAAGGTATTTGACTACTAACCAGAAAGCTGGCCATTCAAACCCACCAGCCACTCCTCAGGAGGAAGGTTGGAGTGAAACTCTGGGAAACATCAATCTTTAAAGATATGAACAATGTAGAAAAGGCAGCAAAAAATGCTGAGAAGTATGTATGTCAACCAGAGAAACTTAGGTCATGTTATGGCTGGCAGCAGAGAAAACTTCAAGAGATTGTGCAGCATCAAGAGCACTATACTGAGCAGAAATGTTTATAAAATGAGGATTTACAAGTGGTCTTTAGGTTTGGCAATATGGTGGTTACTGATATCTTTTGCGATGTAAGGGCAGGAGATATATTACTTTGATGTATCAAGTGTGAGGAAGTTAAAAAAAAAAAGTACATACTGACTACTCACATTCAAGAAAACTGATTTGAACAAATCATGAAATGATGTTAACAACCGGAGGATTTGTCTTTAAACAACTGATGGGCATCTCTGAGATGAGAGAAAGGAAATAAGGATGTATATATCTTCAATAATAGGCAGAGATAACCCATTACCCATTCATCCTTCTTTAATAGGCATGGTTTTAATAATTCTGAAACAGATAATTCCCTCTTTCTAATAAGATCATCATCTTTTTTTTTTTTTTTCCTAACGTGAGCTTCAATTTATGCCTCAAGAGTAAATCTCTACAAATTCTATAGAGTTAGTTATGCTCTCCTCTATGTTTCGTGCTTCCATAATATTTTGTTCATTCCTCACCTATCGTATTTGGTACACTGTACTGTTACATGTTTACATGCTTTTGCTCCCACTAGAATATAACTTTCTTAGAAGCTTATAGTTTTTTTTTACTAGTTTTTACATTTCCAGTCCCTATTAAAGTATCTGGTGTAAAGTAAGACCTTAATTTGTTAAATTAATTAATCTACACTTTAAAATCTGAAGGGCATCTCTGATTATGCCTAAAATTAAACTACTAATCTTTATTAAAGAATGTATTTATTTCTCCAGTCTAAAACAACAACAACGAAAAAATATTGGCAGCTTTTATTTAATAACTTCCACATCCAGTTCATCTCTGTCTAGTAATTATACCCAAAAGTACAGTTCAAATCTCCCAATGCTGTTTAGTTCAAAATATCAGGAACTCTTGCCTGCAGAAACCACCTGTCTCCCTGCTTTCCATTCTCCCTCACAGCTGCCAGATTATCAAAATATACCTCCATTCATGTCTTTCTTCTGGTAAAATCATTGCAGTTGTTTCTTATTGCACTTACAATAAAACAACAGCAACAGAAAATCCTTAACATGTTCTAGAGTGCAATGTACACTTTAACCCTGCTACCATTCTGTCCCTCCGACACCACTTTCCCCTTTGCTTACCATGATCTGACCATATACAGACCTTCACACATGCTTTTCCTATGGTAAAAAAAAAAAAAAAAAAAATGCCTTTTTTACTATTCTTTGCTAGCTATTTCTACTTATCCTACAGATCTCAGCTAATTTTTATTTCATCACAGAGCTCTTTTCTAATAACAAATTTAAATTATGTCTTCCCTAATATTATTATTATTATTTTAACTCTTGGTCTTTTTCTTCATATTCCTTAATGCAATTTGTCATTGTGTGTGTGTATATATATACATATATACATGTACACACATTTATTTATGTTAAAGAAAGAGAAGACCATGACCATTAGGAGCAGCACTGTCTTATAAAATATGGAACAACAATGTTATATTAATTCACAAGATGCTTAGCCATGCAAGACAGTTGGATTGATAGTTTTTCATTTTAACAATAATCCAGGTTGAAAGTTAGGAAAAATATTAAAAAAAAAAATAATAGAAAGGAAAAGACTGATTATACTGCTACTGACCCCCTCCCCCAAAAAATCTTTTTTCCCCCATCCTGGCATTTTTACTGTGTGTGTATGCGTTGTAGTTTATCTGTTGGACAAAAATTATTGAAGGCTTTGTTTCAGCATTGAGTTGGCTCTGGGGAGACCAGAGTGAATGAGAACATCAGAAAACTCATTGTCTAGTGGTGAAAATAGGACACAGGCTATCACAAGGCACTTGGGTTACATACATAATTCATATCTGTTGTTTTTAAGAAAAGTAATGTTTTCTGAATGAATGCCAACCACTAAACACAAAGTCCTATGTCAGTTGGTGTCAAAAGTCTCCAGAATCAGAAGATTTGATTTCAAGGACAAGATTTTTGGAATAAGCTAATAGAACTATGGGAGCTCTGGTAACATAGTGCCTAAGGCACTTGACTGCTAACCAGAAGGCTGGCGGTTCAAACCCACCAGCCACTCCTTGGAAGGAAGGTGGGCAATCTACTTCTGTAGTGATACCGTCTCAGAAACCGAAGGGAGGGGTCGCTATGAGTCAGGGCCGACTTGAGGGCACATAACAACAACAATAGAACTACAATGGAAATCATTACAGGTAGCATAGTGGCTAAGACACTTGCCTGCTAACCAGACGGCTGGCGGTTCAAACCCACCAGCCACTCCTCGGAAGGAAGGTTGGGCAATCCTACTTCCGTAGTGATACTGCCTCGGAAACCCAAGGAGGGGTCGCTATGAGTCGGGGCCGACTCGACGGCACATAACAACAACAACAACAATAGTCTAAAAGAGTTTTCTGCTAGATTCATGTGAATTAGCCTGTCTGGTATAAAACCACTAGAACATCTGCCATATTACATGTTGCTTATAGTTGCTTACATGTTGCTCCCATTGCCTGAAATCTTTTTGAAATGTTTTTTTCTTTTTCCTTCTCCTTGCAAATTTAGCCTGAAGGCTCCCCTTAACATGCTCTCATGTCTATAAACCTATGTTCTCTTATTAACCTCTCTCATTAAATAACCTCTCTCATTAAACCATGAATTCCTCTAAGGTAAAAGTAATATCTTTATTGATATGTCTTTAGTTGAGAGGTAAGAAAACAGGCACCTACTATGTATTTAATACATGTTTATTGAAGAAAGTTGGGAGGGAGGATGTAAGCAGTATTTTGTTTGGTATTGTAAAAATTAAAAATGGCTATGAAATATAGTTTACAGAACACAATGACGTACATATGCCTTAACATCTTTTGGACAACAACAACCATACACACACACACACACAAGATCTTGTCCTGTTTGTCCTGTGCCAAAATTACTTGAAAACTCTTAGTAGTTGGAGGCTCCTGGTTTAAATTTTGGAAAAGCACTTGAGATCATATTCTACTCAATTCTGTGCTACCTTTTTTGCTCATATATATGTCATGACATATACACACTTGGATGGGCTGAGAGATTGTGATCTAGTTTGGGTTTGTGTAGTGTATAGACATCTTTTGCCCTGAGATCTAAATACTTTCACAAATAGCTCAGAATTGGAAAAGAGTCTTTTTCCTAAGGGAATTCTTGCTCACATAAATAGGAGCAGCCAAATGAAAAATACTAGGAGATGTGACCTGCTCTCCCAATGCTGTGTCTTTTGTTAGTTTCTTTTTGAGGGATAAGTATATGATGACATTGTGATACATGTACCTGTAAGGTCATCAGTGGGCCAGGACCCCAGCTGGCACGCCTTGCAGGTATACTCATCAAAGACATACTCATTCTCTTTACAAGGTGTACAGGTCCAGCAACAGCTGACTTCTCCCTTCCGGATCACCTGAGGCAAACATTCAAAATATTAATTATTATTTTGTCTCCATAGGAAAAAAAAATACAGACATTTCTTATTCAAATGTACTGGTTCACAATGCAGAAAATACATTAGTTCAAATATTATCGGTAAGAGGATCAAGAGTTAAATGCAGATCTTTAGATAATTAGCTTGGGGATGTTGTTATGTGTCTTTTAGTCAATTCCAACTCTTAGCGACTCTGTAAGACAGACTAGAACTGCCCCGTAGGATTTCTAAGCCTGTATTCTTTATGGGAGCCAATTGCCAAGGCTCTTCTCCTGCAGAGCCACTGGGTGGGTTCTGGGTTCAAAATTTTTGGTTAGCAGAGAAGTTCCTTAGCTTGGGATATCCTTATTTCATTAAGTATCTGTGTTTGTGCTCATATACACACAAACATACATTTGCATTTATGTGCAAGGTAAGAACGTTTGATTTTTGGAGTAAGAATGCTGGACTTTTGGAGTTACCTTGGCTTCTCTCTACTAGTTGAAAAACTGTGAACAAAAAAATATTGCATCTTTCTTAATGTTCAAAAATCTGTCCACTTCTGAGGAGTGACTGGTGGGTTTGAACCACCAGCCTTCTGGTTAGCAGTCAAATGCCTTAGGCAGTATGCCACCAGAATTCCCAAAATTTAGAATCTAGAAATTTATATTTATATTGGGCATATTGGAAATTTATATTGGGTTGAAATAATTTGTGATCAAAAAGATAAAAAAAGATAAAGGTTTTTCTGGAGATTCTCTCCTGGTCCTTGTCTCTACCAACAATCTGGTTAAACAGTTCAGCCTATTCCTTCCTATTTTAGCAGCTTTGTTTTCCTGGGGATGAAGGTGGATAAGGTCATTGAGACACTTATACACCTCTTCATCTGTTTTTTTTTTTTTAAAGCAATGGAAAATAATTGAAATGATTTAACAGTTGAAAGAGTTCTAGATGTTATGCTTCAGAAATAAATACGTCTTTTTTTTCTCTACTACTGGAGCATGAATAGCCTCTGTGGAATAGAGAGAGTATTCATTAAACTTTGTTAAAAATAATTAAAACTGTAATTAATAACCAGCAATATGCAGACACAGAAATGATTACACTTGCTTTGTATCTGACTCTATTAATGACCTTTGATAATATAGTCGAATTCAAGTATAAGCTAGCACCTCTTTCTTATATTTGTACTACCCTCCTTGAGCTGGCTCTTAAATCTGCAAAAGTACAAGTAGAGAATATCTCTCTAAAACTGGTCATTAGACCTACTGGCATCATGTCTAAGGCATTTGACTGCTAACCAGAAGGCTGGTGGTTCAAACCCATCAGCCACTCCTCAGAAGGCTGGGCAATCTACTTCTGTAGTGATACTGCCTCAGAAACCCAAGGAAGGGTCACTATAAGTTTGGTTTTTTTGGAAAGGAGCTCTGATGACATAATGGGTAAGGCATTTGGCTGCTAACCAGAAAGTCAGCTGTTCAAACTTGCCAGCTCTTCCTTGGAAGTAAGATGAGGCACTCTACTTCTATAAAGATTTACAGCCTTGGGAATGCAATGCAGGGTGGTGGAGTTGCTATGAGTCAGAATCAACTCAATGGTGGTGGGTTTGGTAATCTAGCTAAAGCACTCTTCATAACAATACTATTTACCATTTGTTGCTGTTCACTATCAACTGGATTCTAAGTCATAGCAACCCTATAGGACAGAGTAGAACTGACTTATAGGCTTTCCTAGGCTGTAATCTTGATCAGAATCAACTTGACGGCCATGAATTTGGTTTTTGGTTTGGTATGAGGTAGCTGGTTTATTTCTTAGGAATACACAGGTGTAGTGTGATCACACATATTTAAGGATAAATGAGGGATCAGACTATGTCTGTTGGACTTCAAGGTTGCCTATTGACCCTTATCGGTATATGGGTACCGATTGTTTAAAGATAAAACAATAAAACCAAACTCCTTGCCATCCAGTCGGATGGATCTGACCCATACTGACCCCTCCTTGGGTTTCTGAGATTGGGTCCATTATATTTAAGTAGATGGGATGCCTTGAATTGTATGCACCAATCCCCAGTTTCTTGTAATGGGTTTTAGAGGCAGGATCTCTATGGAAATATATTATCCAACCTTCCTTCCGAGGAGTAGCTGGTGGGTTTAAACTGCCAGCCTTCTGGTTAAAAGTCAAATGCCTTAGGCACTATGCCACCAGAGCTCCTAATTATACCTTGTTGTTGTTGTTGTTATTTGCCGTCGAGTCGGCCCCGACTCATAGCGACCCCTCCTTGGGTTTCCGAGGCAGTATCACTACGGAAGTAGGATTGCCCAACCTTCCTTCCGAGGAGTGGCTGGTGGGTTTGAACCGCCAGCCTTCTGGTTAGCAGTCAAGTGCCTTAGCCACTATGCTACCAGAGCTCCCCCTAATTATACCTACCTTATAGGGTTTCACGAGGACTAAATATCACAGCAATATCACAGCAATTTGTAAGCTAAGAACATTCTAGAGATAATACCTAGTTTTGTAAGTAACCAAAGAGACAAATTATGAATTAAAATTTCAGGATTATTTCAGCCATACCAACTTGGACAATTATTGAAATGATATATATTTTAAATATTGATTGGCTCTTTTTCCAGGACCTTTGGGTCTAGAATCTAGAGATATGGAATCTAGAGATATGCTGGCTTCCTAGGGTTCAATTTGCAATGGTTTATGAATCTGTCTTTACCAAAATAGGTTCATGCCCTTTTCCAAGGATAATTCCAATATTATAGTCTCTTTTTGAATCGATAGTGACAACTTAATATGTCCTCTTCTGATCATTCAGAACTGATTTGTTTAACTTTTTTTTTCTTCCTTGTTCTGTTTCACATTTGTGTTGAATACAAGAGGTGGTGACAATTGTTTTTCATAGTAAGTTTTTTTTAAAATCACTTGGCAGTTGTGCTTTCTTTCTGAATAACAACATAGAAAACATTTTTAACATTTTCTTGGACATAAATTGTGAGATAACATTGATTAAGGTTGTTACTGAGCAACTTTATACCTTATTAATAAGAAAATTATAAGAAAATTCAGTCAATTGGGTTTTAAAATGAAAATTTGGGATTACTTAGCCACTAATAAAACTATGAAAACTATGATATGATAAAAACCAAAAACAAACTCACTGCCCTCAGAGTCATTTCTGACTCATTGGGTTTTCAAGGCTGTAAATCTTTACAGATGTAGATAGGTAGATAGCTCCATCTTCCTTCTGTGGAGTAGCTGGTAGGTTTGAAGTGCCAACATTTTGGTTAGCAGTCAAGTGCCTTATGCACTACAACCCCTAAGATACAGAGAATGAAATTTTTCCACTGAATAAGTTATTCCTAGTAGAATGAGGTATAAAAATATACATAAAGAAATCACTTAAATTGGCCATTTGGTATACTGAAGTGACAAGTTCAAACTGTGTAACAGTGAAGGGTCAAAACAAATGACTTCCAATGTGGTAATTTACACAGTGTAATCTTTCTATAGGAAACTACTAGAAATTCTGACAATCAATATTGTTGTATTCTTGGTCTATAGAAGACTTCACATGAAAATTTTAGCTGCAAGATGGTTTGCCAAGGTGCAGAACTTCTTTGTCATGGCATACCAAGGGCCATATATCAAATAGCTTTTTGGACCAGTCTCTATTCTAACTCAACTATTGAACTCTGCCATTATAGCAACAAAAGAGCTTGGCTGTGTTCTAACTCTCTTTACAAAAATAGGCAGCAGGTTGGGATTGGCTCATGGCCTGTAGCTTGCCAATATTTGCTAATACTATGACAAGACTCTTACACGGTCTATTAACTATTAGAATTAACAACCTGTGATATGCAGATGACACAACCTTGCTTGCTGAACTGAAAATGAAGACTTGAAGCCCTTACTGATGAAGATCCAAAACTACAGTCTTCAGTATGGATTATACTTCAACAACAACAAAAAAAATTCCTCACAACTAGACCAATAAGCAACATCTTAATAAATATCTTAATAAATGAAAAGATTGAAGTTGTCAACGATTTTGTTTCACAGAATGCAGCAGGCTAGAAATCAAACAACATACTGCATTGGGCAAATCTGTGGCAAAAGACTTCTGTAACATGTTGGAAAGCCAAGATAATACTTGAGGACTAAGGTACGTACACCTGAATCAAGTCATGGTATTTTCAATCACCTCATATGGATGTTGAAGTTGGACAATGAATAAGGAAGACCAAAGAGGAATCAATGCCTTTGAATTATGGTGTTGGCAAAGAATATCAAATATATCATGGGCTTCCAGAAATAATGTGGAAGAAGTTAGCCAGAATGCACCTTAGAAATAAGAATGACAAGGCTTTGTCTCACATACATACTTTGGACATGTTATCAGGAGGCACTTCTCTCTGGAGAAGGACATGATGCTGGGTAAAATAGAGGGTCAGTGAAAAAGATGACAACCCTCAAGGAGATGGTTAGACACAGTGGATGCAACAATGGGCTCACACATAGCAATGATTGTGAGGATGGCACAGGACCAGGCAGTGTTTTGTTCTGTTATATACAGGGTTGCTATGAATCATAACTGACTTGATGGCACCTCACAACAACAATAACCTATGAAACCTTTTATCAGATTTATCTTTCTCTACCTTGTCTTCTCCCTTTTGGTTTATGGTTTTCAAATCTTTAGAACTACTCCTTAAGGGAATTACTTTTAGTACTGAAATATTAATGTACCTTAAAGTGAATATGAGCTTGATAAAAAATTAAGGCCAACTGCTCCACCTATATACAATGCATGGAATGTAGTACCCCAGTAATTATCTTGGAGTAAATGTCATTTTGATCTCTCTTCTTTTTCCTCTAGAGCATCGTACTCCAGTAGCTATTTTCCCATTTTTAGTATATCGTCATTCATTTCAGCTTTTTTACTTTCTCTAAGTGGGGCCAGATTTTTCTTAGCTTTAAAGTGTTTTACCTGCTTTGTACCACAGACTTCTCAATTTCAACTATGTTCAGTTCAGCAGGTACTGCTTCCAGAAGGCTCTGGATGAAGGGCTAACCCCTGAATTTCATGTCTTTCCTGACCACCATCCTATGTAACTGTGGGCTCTCTCTCCATCCCTGTTTCTGCTTTGCTTCTACATTCTTTTCTGGTTTTACACTTTAAAAGATGATTTTCTCCAAGGTCTATTCTCACTCCACATTATTTTCTCTTTGTACTTTCAAGTTCTATAATTTTGTCAACTTTAGTAGCTTCAACTTTAGCTCTATAAAATGATTTCCTAATATAAAATTATTTCCTAATTGTGTATCTTCAGCCTTATTTCTCATTGTTTTCCATATCTAGCTAGATATCTGAAAGCCAACATACCCTCAAACTAAGCCAAGTCCAAGTCCTTTACCATTTTTTTTTCCTACTCTTTAAAATGACCTTCCATTTCCTAAACCTTGGAATTGTAGTTGATTATCTTGGACCTTTTTCTCTTCTCCAGTCATACATCCAATCAGTACCTGGGACTCACTGAGTCTACCTCTACAATGTTTCTCCCAAATATCTCATATCTCCCTTGTCCACTATCTCCACTATCCATTCTCACTGTTTCTTCCCAAATTCAGAGCCCTTGTTAACCACTATCAGAGTGTCCTTCTAACTGGTCTCTTCCTTCTTATTCATGTTTCACAAAACTACCATTAATCTTCACTGACAACAGCCTAGCTGTTAACATCTTGGTCAAAATGATGGTGGTGTTGATGTTGATAATAATTTTACCTTATTTAGCATGACATTCAAAACTCTTCACAAATCTGGCTTCAACTTATCATTTATCATTTTACCTTTCTCTTTTATACTTTTATAATAACCATTTAGAGGCATGCACCCTAGATTGTTCACTATGACTTCAAGTCTTTAATAGACCACTTTTATACCTCCTATCACTGATCTTTTCCCCACATCTAAAATCCTACCCATTCTTCCTAGTCCAATTACTCACATTTAATTCAAAAGAAATCTCTCACTTGCTTTTGTTTGAAATTCCATGTGATTTTTTTTTCCTTAATGAAACCCTCACATTTTGGGTGATGCTGCTTACCTGTGCCATGACCTTTTTCTTCCTCTAGACTGTAAACCTGCTGGGTGTCTTTGATAAATATTTGCTGAATTAATTAGAAACGAATATGCCTTCCAATTGTAAACTATTATTCCAGGAAATAATATCTTTAAAAACTCATATGATTAGATAGAGTGTAGGAAAATGTGATCTACCAGTTACTTCAATCAATCCAAATACTAAGATTATTAATACTAAGAATTTTGTGGGTTGCACTCTAGACAGCATGAAGAATTAATGAGAAGAGAGCAAATAAAAATATAATTTAAGATCTAAAACAAGTATCCTAACACTTTAAAAATAGTCAATTCAAGTTTTGAATTTAAAACAAAATTAAAGAAACAGGACTTCACTTTACCTTTATCTGGCCTTTTTCACATGGCTCACTGCACACAGATCTGATAATGTTGCTTTTCTTGGACCATACCTCATCATCATCCATTTTTAATTCTCCATTGTCCCAGCTTCCAACATTGATGTAATCAAAATAATCTTTTCCCATTTCCTTGAAATTCATGATTTCATACCTTAAGAACAAGAATATAATAAAGATTCAGCTAAGGAAATAAATGTTCAGTTATGAGAGAGCAATGGATTTTGCTTTCAAAAACCTATCCACTGTCATATTAGTGCCACTGGAATTTTCCATGACAGTCCACCAGTTAGAAAAACAAAAAAACATCTGTCTGTTTCACTTTTTCTTCAGAGATCATTTTTTACTTTCAAGTTTACACCTGAAATAGAAAATAATCCCATGTGAGAAGGTGACTTGACCTCAGCAGGTTGAAAGACAGCTTTGAAATAATTCAAGAGGTTTAAACAAGTACTAGTGTTAGGCTTCTAAAAAAGAAGGTCTTTTGTCTTCACCTAATTTGGTAAATCTTTTGATTTTTGGTAAATCTTTTGATTTCACTTTTGGGGAATGTAGGGGGTAATTTGGATAGAACCTGATATTTACCTTTCTTATATAATCTTTATTAATGTCTACTTTAATTGTATAAACAAAATTTCAGGAATGACATTTAAAGTACCTTACACAATGTGAAAATGCTGAATGACACTAGTACCTAATGAGTTCTTAGACTATATTAGCTATTATTTATTTTTTTGTGATATGGATATATTAACAAAATATGTCATTTCAACATTGTTTTACTTGTACAATTCAGTGACATTAATGACATTCATCATGCTTTCCATTCTCAAATTTCCCATCAGCCTTAACCGAAACTCAGTGCCCCCTAGGCAAAGATTTCCCTTTTTCTCTCCCCCTCATGCCTAGATGTTGCTGTTAGTTGCCATCTAGTCAGGGGAAGCCAAGTGTGCAGAGCAGGACTGCTCCATGGGGTTTGAGTTTCAAGGCTGTGACCACTCTCCCTCTCACCTTTGGCAACCACTAATAAACTCTGGTCTACATACTTTTGCTTATTTCAGATATCTCATACAGTGGGACATATAATAGTTGTCCTTTTTCGTCTGACTTATTTCACTGAGCATAATATTTTCAAATTTCATCCATGTTGTAGCATATAGCAGAACTTAGGAGAACTTCAATTTTTTTTATATGGTTGAGTATTTCCTTATATGTATATAATATGTGTATGCCATGTTATAGATATTTATTCATCTGTTAATGGACACTTAGGTTGCTTCTACCTATTGCCTATTATGAATAGTGCTGCAATGAGTGTTGGTTTATAAGTATCTGTTTGCATTTCTGCTTTCAATTATTTTGGGTATATACCCAAGAGTGGAAGTGTTGGATCATATGGGAATTCTGCATTTAACTTTTTGGGGAACCACCAAACTATTTTCTATAGCAGCTGTACCATTTTATAATTCCACCAGTAATACCAATACTTTTTGTTTTCAGTTTTTATGATCCTAGCCCTTCCACCAAACCAGTTGCCATTGAGTCAATTCCAACACACCCCAAGTGCGTCAGAGTAAAGCACACCTGGGTGGACTTGAAACTCCTTTCCATTAGCAGCCTGGCACCTTAACAATTGGTGCTCCATAGCTATTCCAGTGGGGATGAAATGGTTTGTTGTTGTGGTTTTGATTGGCATTTCCTTTATGACAAACGCACTTGTTGGCCATTTGTGTATCTTCTGTGATGGAATTCCAATTCTGTTCCTTTGCCCATTTTTTCATTTTATTGGATCGCCTGTCTTTTTGTTGCTAAATTGAAGGAGTACTTATGTACTGTGTATTTTAAATCCTTATTTGATATATAATGAGCCCTGGTAGTGCAATGAATCTATCTATCTGTTTTAACTCATTCTTAAATTGAAAGGATTATCTACAGTCCATTATTTGTAGTCAGCTACTAATAATTTTGAGTAACTGTCTAAATTCTACTTCTAAATCAAAAGTATATAAGATACAAAGTCAGTCTATAGGATACAAAGTTGAGTCCTATACTTTTTCACTGTCATAGTTATCCCACAGATAACTATGAGTTGAGATATTAGCACACAGAGCACTGATATAAAAAGAATGCATATATTATTGTCATTGGTACTTCCAAAATTGCTTCTAAGTGTTCAAAAGGCAACTTCCTATTGTGAGTAAATGACCTCCAAACATTCTAACAGGGAGAAAGACTGTGTTAGATTGCTGTTGATTTGAGAACTAATAATGAAACCCTTTTATAGTAGATATGTAGAACCATGTTAAATGTAAGCTACACATGTTTCTTATTCTATTAGTAATTGATCTTGGACACATGTCTTCCTTTTTCTGGAAAAGACACATGTCTTCCTTTTTCTGGAAAATTAGGAGGTTAAAACGCATAATTTCTATGGTTTTTTTTATGGCCAGAGTCATATCATATGGAAACCTGATTAGGTATCTGCAAATCCCTAGAGAACTAGTCTCTCTTTCTATTTACTCCATCTGTTTCTGGTCCTCTTTTTCTGCCTTCTTTTTGTTTAATTATTTCTATATTAACTTTTCAGTTATCTATGACACTTAGAATCTTCCTTATGCCATTGTTACCAAATATAAACCACCACAATATAATGCTATTATTTGATTTTAAGTTGTGTTCAATCTTATATTGTCTCTTATTATAAATCTCAGACAGCAGCCAGACCTCTTAAAGTTCCTAATGCAAGTTCTACAACATATTTTGGCAAACTTTTTCTGTAAAGGGGCAGACAGCAAATATTTTAAGTTTTGTGAGGTGGTCTGTTGCAATCCCTCGATTCTGCCTTTGCAGTGTAAAAGCAGACATGCCAGTTGCCATTGAGTGGACTCTGATTCAAGGTGACCCCACATGTGTCAGAGTAGAACTGTGCTCCATAGAAATAGCCATAGATAAGCAAGAGTGTTCCTTTTTCTCCAATGAAACTGTATTTACAAAAACAAGAAGGTGGCTAGATTTTACTTGCAGACCACAGTTTTCCCCATGTATAATTTGAAATCCTTGTTGTTGTTATGTGCCGTGGAACTCGACCCAACTCATAGCAACCCCTCCTTGGGTTTCCAAGGCAGTTATCACTACGGAAGTAGATTGCCCAACTTGCCCAACCTTCCTTCCAAGGAGTGGCTGGTGGGTTTGAACCGCCAGCCTTCTGGTTAGCAGTCAAGTGCTTTAGGCACTAAGCTACCAGAGCTCTGAAAACCACAAGTTTTTCCTAACATTCCTGCAGCAAAGCATGACCCAAACTGTCATGATGCTACATATAGTCTATTTATGATGGTGTGAATATTCATATTATTAATATGCTTTGCTGCAGAAATATTAATGTTTAAGGAATGTTGCATCATACACTGTTGGGTGCATTATATGAACTCTGTATCTTTTCCTAAAGTCATACTGAATTCTATAACTCACCTAGCACCAAGGGTTTCATGTAATTAGATGTGGGATTTAAAAAGGATCTTCCTGTTAGGAATCAGAATCTCTAATAACCCAGGCTCCTCTAATTCCTTGCCCGGTAAGCAGTAAATTTTACTTCCTGGAAATAACAACATACTGTCCACAAATACATTTCAGTAGTGGCTTTTTTGTTTTGATCCTGGTTGATGATTAATTGGCATGCTGTTGTATAAAGTTAGACATTGACTAGACTGGGACATAACCTTTAAAAGCTTCACTTCTTTCATCTAAAAATTATCACAAAATTTATTTGTGGGTGAATGTGATGCCCACTCTTATCAGAAATTGTTTGCAAAATATTCTATATAATGTTCCAGAGGGAAAAATCTGTAAATTTCACCTAAGTCTTAAAATAAATCATGTTTCAATTTAAAATAAATCATGTTTCAATAAAAGATTAAAAACCAGTATCGTTAAAGTACTCCAACATATTTGGGAGATCATGTTTAAGACAGTGATAGTCTACATGATCCTTTAAGGTTCTCCATTGGAGAAGAACAGAGCCATGTGAGATGCTTCTTAACTACCTCAGTTGTTTGGCTATGGAACTTGGGGTAGATGACATTAAAACTCTTTGAAGCTTTGAAGTTGTGGAGCTGCAATCATTAAAGCCAGTTTCAAGTTGATTTCAGCACTTAAGAGATTCATGAAAAGATAATAATAAACCCATATGTAGGTATCAGCACCTATGTAGGTATCAGCACCTAGATCTTATCCTGAACCTAAAAAGTGAGTGCATCATCAACCTCTCCTGGGAAGCCTTACAACAAACCTGATGTTTTCTTTGGCCCTGAAAAAGAAATTGGCTTAGCTTGGCAAATAGTCGGACTGTATCAAGAGTTTTCTGTCGTCTAGAGTCAAGCAGGTATCCAGCTCTTATCTTGGCTGTAAGACCAGAAAATAGCTGATGCTTACATGTCCAGCACATAAGTGGTAGAAATTGTATCTGGAACTAACTCTGACTTACCTCACGAATACAGAAGCTCCCTAAATCAAAATCATGAATAGGCTGTGTGGGCACTTGAAATGTGAGTTGTGGAAAAAATGTGAGTTGTGGAGAGAGAGACCCATGAGCTCTACTCTTGGCAGGGTCAACTGGAAACAGTGTACATACACCCTCTCCAACCAGTACAGTCCAGCTGAAGAATGACAGTTGTTAAACATAAGCTGTGCTTGGATAGTACTTGGGTTTTTACAATGGGAGCCAGAGGACTCTAATTTCTCTGATATGATGTGAAGTGAGACTAGCCCTGCTAAAACTCAGTATGACCTTTCAGTGACATTATCCTCATTGGACTACAAGTCCTATCTGTAGAATCATGCAGGAATTATGAATATTGTTAAGTTTCTAGGTATCTAGTGACTTCCCTGAAAGTTGACTTATAATTATTAGTAAGTCCATTTTTCTTAGGCTCTTCTCTATATATAATGAAAGGTGAAATTTCAGAGAAAAGGGCAATTTAGTCCTCAAAAAAGAGAGAGAGTGTTCCAGCTGGAGGATAATAAAATAAATTATGATTTATAACTCACTGTAGGTAGAATAAACAATATATAAGTACCTCAATCCTATTTCTGGATTAAGAACAGTTCTATGACCCACAGAGAAAACAGAATACAAGGAATAACTTGAAAAATATGTATGGAAAAAACACTAAGCTGGCTTTTGTTTATCCATGATAATATGTGGTTCATGTCTCTAAGTTTAGGTCCCTGAAATGTGGCCGTGATTCCCAGACAACATTTTGGTTATTAGCAACAATACTTTCTCTTGTCCTAAGAAATTGAGTCTTCCTTTTCTGGTTTTGCTCACCTTACACAGCTAGAGTGCCTAGGTAATCACAAGGATAGAAACATGTCCCTTAAGATTAAGAGTCGAGTATCGTTCAGGCTATATTGTCTATAGGATAACTGTAACAATACCTTCCTGGAGAGTCTCCGTTCTCATCAAATAGGATCATATCTCCAGACACGCCAGTAAAATTGGTTTTCATCAGGGAGTCCAGCAGTTTCCGCCCATCAATTGGTTTCATTGCATCGCAGAGGCCTGCATAGCCTGGACAGAGGGACATCTGCATGTTGTGGAGGCCATAGGCCATAGAGTAGATTGCATTGATCACAAATCCCATTTTGGAATCTTGAACATGATGTGTTCTCAGAGTCAGAGAACCTGTTGGGAAATAAATTAGCAATTAATGCTGAGATTTAATTTTATTGTAGTTAAACTCATGGACCTGGATAATGAGAGGATACACTGGAATAGGGGCAATTCTCACATAAAATCGTAATATATGCTGTGCCCACATATCTTTTATATCCAGGGTTTTCTCTGTAACTTTGAAGAAAGACCAGAATCCCAAACAGTAGCAAGATTTATAAAACAAACTCACTGCTGTTGAGTCGATTCTGACTCACAGTGATCCCTCCTTGGGTTTCTCAGGCAGTATCTCTATGGAAGTAGATTGTGGAGTTTTCCTTCCGAGGAAATTAATTGCCCTAATGCTCTCCTCTGATAATATACCTCTTTGGTTAATAAATAAAACAGTAAATCCTGTTTTCAAACTATAAAGTCCTCTTAGCTAAGAAAACTAGTCCCTCTAGTATCATCTCAAAGCATAAAAAATACTAGTTAGCAGTTCTAACATATAATTTAACATTTAAATTCCATAAATCATTAATTCAACAAATATTTATTGGTGCTGCATATACAAAGAGCTGTGTTGATAATTTGGAAAACAGATGAAATGGACATGGATTTGCACTTAAGAAACTTGTCTAATAACAGAGATAAATTATATAACACACATAGAGTTAAACTCTACCAAAACCAAACTCACTGCTATCGAGTCGGATCTGACTCATAGTGACCCCTCCTTGGGTTTCCGAGGTGGTATCACTATGGAAGTATTGATACCTTCCTTCCCAGGCGTGGCTGCTGGGTTTGAACCACCAGCCTTCTGGTTAGTAGTGCCTTAGGCACTATGCCACCAGAGCTCCCAGTTAAACTCTATAAAGGCCTAACAGAGGAAGAGATCACTTACAAATATGAACGAAGTATCTCTTATTTCTGACTGCTCAATACATGCTGGGAGTAAGGGGCATAATGTTGAACATTAGGAATCATGAAATAGACATGATTCCTGTTTTTAATTTATTGTCTAGGAGGCAGAAAAGCATTTAAGTAGGCAATTAAAATGTGGTTTGATAGGTGCTAAGGCAGTACTGAATTGAGAGGACACCCAGTCCAGGCTTCAGGAGTCATGGAAGGCTTCCCAGAAGTTTACTAAAGTTTAGCATTATTGCTGAGTATCAGCTGAAAGAGGAGCTCTGGTAGCATAGTGGCTAAAGCACTTGACTGCTAACCAGAAGGCTGGCGGTTCAAACCCACCAGCCACTCCTCGGAAGGAAGGTTGGGCAATCCTACTTCTGTAGTGATACTGCCTCAGACACCCAAGGAGGGGTCGCTATGAGTCGGGGCCGACTTGACGGCACATAACAACAACAACAACATCAGCTGAAAGAAGAGTGGGGGTAAACTGCTAGGAATGCAAAATTGTACAGCTACTTTGGAAGACAGTTTGGCAATTTCCTACAAAGTTAACCAGAATCTTACTATTTGATCTGGGCATTATATCCCTGGTATTTACCTACATGAGTTGAAAGCATATGTTTACAGACAAACATGCACACGAATGTTTAAAACAGTTTCATTTAGAGTTACCAAAAATTGGAAGACAGTGAATGGATGAACAAAGTGTGATACATACATTCAATGGAGAATTGATACAAAAATGAGTTATCAAGCCAGTTAAGTACATAGAGCTTTCTAAGGAGTCATTCTGGAAAAGGCAAAACTATAGAGATAGGGGAAGGATGAATAGGTGAAGAACAGGGCATTTTAAGGGCAGCAAATCTATTCTGCCTGATACTGTAATGGTGGGTACATGACATTATACAACTGTCAAAACCCATATAACTGTGCAACACAAAGGGTGAATTCTAATGTAAATTATGGACTTCAGTTAAAATAATGTATTGAAACTTATTCATCAGTTGTGTAATAACTGTATCAGACCAATGCAAGATGTTAATAATGAAGGAAACTGTGTGCAGGAGCAAGCAGAGGGTATCTGGGTACTCTATAAACCTAAAACTGCTCTAATGAAAGCATATATACATCATTGTTCTGTGCTGTCAGGTTGATTCCTTTTCATTTTGACCCTGTTGGACAGAGTAGACATGCCCTATAAGGTTGAAATTTTTACAGGAACAAATTACCAGGTATTTTTACCAGGTCGTCTCCCCTTCAGAGGGGCTGGTAGGTTGGAACCACCGAACATTTGGTTGGTAGTCAAGAACTTTAACCATTGCTTCACCAGGACTCCATATATAGGGAGTATAGGTAAGAATGTTTCAAGTATTTTGATGGTTCACAGAAGAGAGAGAGCATGGATTGGGAGGTAGAATAATAGTGAGAAATGGGGTGGCATATAGGGATGTAGGACTTTTTAAACCAAATTAAGGCTTCTGTGATTAAAGTGTTTAAGTTAAGAAATGATTAAATTTCTATTTTACAAAGATTGAAGAATGGTTTGAAGGGCTATAGAAATGGAGGCAGGGGATCAGTGAACAGGTGATGCAGTGATCCTAGTGAGAGGTGATAATGTCTTTGCCTGGGGTAGAGGCTGTGGTGTAACAGAGCAGAATCTGATTGAAGAATTGATAGGATTTAGATGTATAGGATAAGTTAGCTACCAAGATAAAAGGAACAGCCGAGGTAAACCAGAGCCTGTCATTTGGGGAAAAAACTTCCTTTAAGAGAGATTTTAAAACAAAACCAAACAAAAATATCTCCAAGGGTAGCATGGTCCTTAATGACTTTTCAAACTGTAGAGGCTTATCATCTCATCACCTTTTAATTGCTGGCCCGAAGACAAACACTTTAAGTTTGCCTGAATAGACAGGAATTCTAGGGAACAGGAATGGTTCATTCTGACATAAATACAAGACTGAGAGCCCTGCTCCCATCTCTGGACTAGACATGGCTCCAAGCGCCTTTCTAACCAAATCTTACAATTTCCTTCTCTACAGAACTCTAGGAGCTCTGGTAGCGTAGTGCCTAAGTCACTTGACTGCTAACCAGAAGTCTGGCGGTTCAAACCCACCAGCCACTCCTCAGCAAGAAGGTTGGGCAATCTATTTCTGTAGTGATTCCGCCTCAGAAACCCAAGGAGGGGTTGCTATGAGTCAGATCTAACTGGACAGCAAATAACAACACCACAAAAACTCTATTCAGACCTCCACATTTCAGTGCCGAAAATTCACTCTTCCAGTTGCTCAAATACATAGGAGACTCTTGATTCCTCTTTTTCCTTTTCTACTGTCGTAACTCTCATTTAGTCTCTGCTCAAAATATAGCCAGAATTAGCCTATTTCATACCAGTCTGCTTCTATTAGTTTTAGGATACATAATTTCCTATTTGAATTACAGCAATAACCTTCTAACTGGTCTCCTTCTTTTTGCCCTTGTTACCACCTAATTTCTACCTACCTTTCTCCCACTCCAGCCTAATTTTAATATAATAGCTAGATTAGTTCTAATAAAATATAAGTCAGATCTTGACACTTATCTGCTCAAACTTTCCAGTGACTCCCTTATTACTGAGAGTAAAAACTAAAGTCCTTAAAAGGGCCTTCAAGGATATAGGGGATCCTTGTGTAGTGCCCTCTCCTAATTTTTCTGATACTTATCTATTAGCCACCATTTAAATGGCTGTGCTCTAGCCACATTGACCCTTCCCCGATTGAACCTCAAATATGCCATACATACTCCTGCCTCCACCTCTGTAATTGCTATTTCTTCTACCCAGAAAGATCTGCCTCCGAGATATGCAGAGTGTCCCCCATTATATCATCATCTCTGTGTGACCTTCTCTGGTCACTCAGTCTAAATTGCAACTCCACCTGCTTCCCACCCACATACATACTCTTATCTCCTTAAATTACTTTTCTATGTACTGCCATCTAACCTACTGTATAAGGCGTTGTTGTAGTGTTGTGGTGTTAACCAAATGGTTAGGCAGCTCAAACCCACTCAACAGGAGGAAGATGAGGCAATCTACTTTGATAGCATTTACAGCCTTGGAAACCCGATGGGGGTTGCTATGAGTCAGAATTGACCTAATGGCAGTGGTTTTAGTTTTTTTGGTTTGTAACATACATTTTATGGACTTTTCGTATTTATAATCTGTCTTATCCTACTAAAATATAGGCTCTAAGAGGGATTATTTTCTGTTTTGTTTACTATTCTTCCCTTATTAATTAGCAGAGTACATGATACATAGTAGGTCCCCCAAAAATATTTGTTAAATGAGTGAAAGAACTATCCCTTCTATTTTCATTTCCCCCTTGAAGACTGCAATAATTATGTTGCTGTTGTTTTTATGTGCCCTCGAGTTGGACCCGACTCATAATGACCCCTCCTTGGGTTTCCGAGGCAGTATCACTATGGAAGTAGATTGCCCCATCTTCCTTCCGAGACACTATGCTACTAGAGCGCCTGCAATACAACTAAAATTATTTTTGGGAGCTTTGGTGGCATAGAGCCTAAGGCATTTGCCTGCTAACCAGAAGGCTGGCAGTTCAAACCCAGCAGCTACTCCTCAGAAGGAAGGTTGGGCAATCTACTTCCATAGAGATACTGCCTCAGAAACCCAAGGAGGGGTCACTATGGGTCAGATCCAACTGGACGACAGTAAGTTTGGTTTTTCAAAGTAGTTTTGTTCTTCTAAATTCCTTATCATTTTCTGTATACCTACCTCAGCCACCCTCCATACCACACTACAGAAATGTGGACATACTTGGGGAAATTTGAAATGTTCAGTCTCTACGAGTGCCTAACTCCCTAACTGGATGAGGAATTACTTGATTGAGTCTATTATTCTATTTCCAGATATATGGACAGTTTTGAAGTCATATTTAAGTGGTTTCACATGAACCTAAGCCATGCACTTAAACTCAACCATAGATGCTTGCTTCACTATGAATAAGGTGGTATGGTCATGACTCAGCTAACATCCACAATAATTTTTTGTGAAATAGGATGTTGTGTGAACATCATTTTGTAGTCCATCTCTGCTTATTCTTTAGTATCTCAAACAAGCTTCATGC